GCCACCCCTTTGCTGAGTTCAGTTCAGCCAGAAATGGGAGGCCAGCTGTCAGACTGCCACTCTGAGTTCTTAGTACTTTCCTTAGTCTCAAGGTATTTGAAAGCAGAACTGCTTCCTGATAGAGTGCTTTTTATTGTTTATTTTTATTTTATTTTTTAAGTGAGTATACACAGTAATGAGTTTCAGATGGCATTTTCATATATACATGTCATTCTTTAATTTGTCAGCTTCCCCCACTGCCCTTCCCCACATCCACTGCCCACCTCTTGGGGTCAAAGTAATTTAATGCTACTATTCATTAGTGGACATAGTCCTATAAGGACTAAGCAAAATATGTGGCACGATTTCCTGGATATGTTGAACTAAAAACAATTTGCATTTTCAGTTTACTATTTAAAAAATATTTTATTTTTATTTTATGTGTATGAGTGTATTGCTTGTGTGTATGTAAGTGCACTTGTGTCATGCAATGCCTTGGAGGTCAGAAGAGGGCTTTGGATTCCCCTGGAACTGGAGTTAAGGATGATTTGTAGCCGCCATGTGGGTGCTGGGAATCGAACCCGGGTTCTCTGCCAGTGCTCTTAACTGCTGAGCCATCTCACCAGCCCTCAGTTTACTTTTATGCACTCCTACACTCCGTTTATGTATTCCATGTTCCATACAATTTTAGAGAAAGGCCAACATTTGTATGAAGTGTTTTTCTCAGGGTTGATGAGGTAACTCAGTGGGTTAAAGGCCACTTGCTGCCAAGATAGACCTGAGTTTGATCCTCAGAACCCACAGTGGAACCTATTCCTGAAAGTTGTCCTCTGACCTCAACATTCCTGCAGTGAGTGGCACATACACATAATACACAGAGAATTGAAAACCATTTTAAAGTGTTTTATTACTGCTTTTTTGGTGGGCGGTGGGTGGGAGTGGTCTGGGGGCTTGAGCTGAAGTTTCTGTGCATGCAGGAAAGCTCTCTGCCATGAACTGTATACCCAGACTTGTTTTGTTTTTGAGACAAGATTTGACAATTTAGATTGGCCCGGAACTAACTGCCTTAGCCTCTCCAATTTTGGGCTTGCAGTATAAACCACTGCACTTATGTTCTTTTGTCTTTTTTTTTTTTTTTTTTTTTTCTTTTTTTAACTTTTTGAAACAGGGTCTCCCAGTAGCCCCAGCTGGCCTGGAACTCACTATGTAGACCAGGCTGGCCTTGAACTGCACAGAGATCTGCCTGCCTCTGCCTCCTGAGTGCTGGAGTTAAAGGCCTGTGCATGCACCACCGTGCCTAGCTGTGTCCTTTGTCTTTTATTATGAAAAGCAGAGATGGCATTTTGATTATAATTCTAGGTAATACTCTTAAGAGATTATGCACTCTGATTTCATTAATTTTTTTTGACTGAAGTAAATGGTTTTTAGATTTCTCTTACATTTATGTCTGATAGTGCTTTACTGTCACTGTTTTTGTATTTCTAATACTGCGATAGGGTTGTGTCTCTCACTTTTGTCCATGGGCTGTAGCACAGGATAGCATATTGGTGCTAAAAAATGCTTCCTCTATGATAATTAGTTTTATTTCAGAAATTTTAGTGCCTGTTTATGCTTGCTTTTCCTTTTCTCCTAATTAATGGCAGGCACCCTGATTTGTTTATATTTCCATGTGCCAGTTCAGTGCTTGGTATCTAACAGATACGTAGCAAGAGTTTAATTGGATTAAATTTCTTGCACAAGGTCACTTCAAGAAGCTGGGCTTTATAAAACCCAAGTTTTTGGAAGCTAAGGCCCTTGTTTTCATTGTCTCATTTAAAATTTCAGGTTGGCTTTGTCTAGAACTGAACTTATATTTAATGATTATAGTAAATTATTAAAGTTTGATCCTTTCTAGTCTATGTAAGAGTGAGTGGTAGGGCCTTCCTGTCATTAAACATTTTGTCCCTGGGCCATGCTTTTAATCCCTGTACTAGGGAGGCAGAGACAGGTGGATCTAAGGCGTTGTTCCAGGCGAATGGGGGTATAGGAAGACTCTTGTCTCAAAAAACAAAACAAAACCCAAAACAACCAAACTTGTCTTTCTATAGTATTTAAAGCTTGTTGCTAGCTGGACAACTAAGTGGGTAAAGGTGCTTGGCACCAAGCCTGAAACTGAGTTAGGTCCCTGGGACCCACTCTCCTCTTCCTGTGCTTTGGTATACATGCATACATAAATGTAAAAAAGTTTTTTTTTTTTGGTGTTTTTGAGACAGGGTTTCTGTAGCCCCAGCTGTCCTGGAACTCACTATGTAGACCAGGCTGGCCTCGAACTCACAAAGATCCACCTGCCTCTGCCTCCCAAGTGCTGGGATTAAAGGCGTGCACCACCACGCCCGGTATGTAAAAATGTTTTTAAATAAAAAGTTCATCAGTATCTTTTTGCAAGTGTTCGTCTGGTTACCAAACATATTCTACACATAGCAAAAAAAAAAAAAAAAAGGTTTCTAATATTGGTTAGACAGTTTGGCCTTATTGTGTCTCTAACTCATTAGCTTTTAAATTACATTTATTTTTTAAAATTTCATATTATTTATATTTTATGCATGTGCAAGTTCAGGTCAGAGGACAACTTGTAGGAATTGGGTCTTTCCTTCTATGCAGGTCTTGGGAATTGAACGCAGGTCATCAAGCTTTATGCAAGTGGCTTTATCCACTGAGCCATCTCGCTGGCCTCATCTCCATTTTTTCCCCCAAGATTTATTTTACTTTGTGTGCATAAATGTTTTACCTGCATCTAGAGAGGATGTCAGATCCTCTGGAACTGGAGTTACAAACAACAGTTTGTCATGTGAATAATGGGAACAGAACCTGGTCTTCTGCAAGAGCAGCATCTGTTCAGATGTGTCTTCCCCCTTGCTGTTTTTTAGGGAGGGAGTCTTGCTATGTAGTCTAGCCTGGGCTGGTTATTCAAGATTCTCTTGATTCAGCCTCCCCAGTTCTTGCAGTTACAGATGTGAACCACCTCTGACTTTTTCTTAGTGCTTTCAAGCATCATCATTATATAGTTTGGATTTTCTGGATTTTTCTTTATCAGCTCCTGTCCCCCAGTTGGATTCTTCATTCTGTGCTTCAAGCACATCTTCCGGGCTAGCTGTTAACTGAGCTCAGTTTGAAGTTTTTTGTTGTTGTTGTTGTTCTGCTCCATTAGCACTCTAGCAATGCAGAGTTTTGTTAATGTGGGTCTCCCCAGTAACCTTTCTGTTAACTCTATTAGAAAATTTAATATTTTACCCCTTCCTTACCGTCTCAGATATTGTGTCACTCAGTTTTATGTCATTGTGGTTTGGTTTTTGTATGTGTAATTGACTGAAGTCCATATTATGAAAAGAAGTAAGAATAAACTTATTTTCAAAAAATAATGTTTTTATTATGAGTGTATTGCCTGCATATACATAAGTGCACCTGTGTTGCACAGTGCCCACGGAGGTCAAAAGAGGATGTTGGAGCCCCTGGAACTGACTGTTTCAGTTACAGACTTGTTAGCTGCCATGTGGGTGCTGGGAACTGAACCTGGGTTCTCTTCTAGAGCAACCAGTGCTCTTACCCTCTGAGCCATCTTTCCAGACCCTAGAATAAGCTTATTTTTGATAAAGGTAAAAAATCCTAGGAAATATGAGGATGTCAAAGGACAACAAAGGGTTGTGGCCTGTGCAGAATTTTGGTTGCAGTTGTTTAATTCGCCAGTAGTCTTTCTAACAGTTCTCTGCTTTCTAGGATCCTTGTCTGTAGTATATTTTAAGACTGTGCACTTCGTTCTAGGTTCCTGGTAAGCAGGCCAGTCATTGACCTGAGACCATGTCAAAATCTCTCTAGTCTAGTTATATACTTCCAGGAAGGAGGATTTGGTCAGTGGTGAGTTTTTGTCTCCAGGGTGCATACTGGTGGCATTGATACTAGTTTAAGAAAGAGTATGAGAACTTCTAGAATCAGTGAAGTTCAGGTTATTACCTTATTGATATCTTTGTGAATTCCTAAGTGGAGGATAATTTTTTTTTAATATTTATTATTTTTATTCTGTGTGTATGAGTATATTGCCTGCATATATGCCTATGTCATGCAGTGCCCATGGAGGTCAGAAGAGGGCATCAGATCCCCCTGGAACTGCAGTTACGATTGTTAGCTGCTATGTGGGTGCTGGGACCTGATAATAGGATCCTCTGCAAGAGCAGCCAGTGCTCTTAATCACTGAGCCATCTCTTCAGCCCCTCCCCCCCATTAAAACTTTTTAAAAATATTAGTTTTTAGCCGGACCTGGTGGTGCACGCCTTTAATCCTAGCACTCGGGAGGCAGAGGCAGGTGGATCTCTGTGAGTTCAAGGCCAGCCTGGTCTACATAGTGAGTTCCAGGACAGCTGGGGCTACAGGGAGACCCTGTCTCAAAAAGACCAAAAAAAAAAAAAATTTAGTTTTTGTGCCTGCAGATGCGCTTGTGGCACAGTGCATGGGTGGTAGTCAGAGGATAACTTACGGAGTCAATCCTCTCCTTCTACCTTTGTGTTCTGGGGCTGAACTCAAGTCATCAGGCCTGCCCAGCAAGTGCTTTTCTTACTCATGAGCTGCCTTGCTGACTCTTACCTTATCCATTCTTAAGAATGGTGACGAGTACATTGTGTCTGCCATGACTTGACTTCTTTTTTTTCTTTTTTTCTTTTTGAGACAGGGTCTCTCTGTAGCCCCAGGTGGCCTGGAACTTGCTATGTAGACTAGGCTGGCCTCAAACTCATAGAGATCCGTCTCCCTCTGCCTCCCAAGTGCTGGGACTAAAGGTGTGCGCCATCATATCCGACTTGACTTATTTTTTTGATAAAAAGTATTGATATATGGCAAAATAAGGTGTTTGCTTAGATTCCCAGAGGAAACGTTGTACACAGAGCTTTTGTTTTACACTGAGGGAAGGAGAATGGGAATAATTTATGAGTGTCTAACACAACTGTTTATATTAAGAAAGGACCATAACATTCAACCTCTTTTTTTGTCCTTAGGATCAAAATATTTGCTGAACAGTGGACTCAGAGACAATTAAAAATAAGCTCCTACCTGAACATATTTGGCTGGTTAGCCAGGTAATTAATTCAGTTTTCTTTGACTTATTGTAATTTTTTTATTTCAGCTGACTGAAAGTACTACTCTAATTTATGACTTCAACATGTTTTGTGTTTGATATACCTTTCTTTAAGAATAATGGTAGTTGAACAAATAGACATGGACTATTTGAGTGAATACATATGTGTATACATTTGTATATAAGTATAGAAACTTGGAGGTGGTAGGGGAAAGCAACCTCCCTGCCCATCTATGTATTTTAAGGGAATTTGGTCAAAATTAGATACATTTACAACCCATGCTTGCTATTTTCCTTTGTGAAGACTAATTTGCTCGAATGCTTGTGCAGATAATAAATAGCATTCTATCTGCTCCTTTCTTAGTCTGTAATATCACATCGAAGTAGTAAAGTGAGAATAAAGAGAGCTGCCTGACAGGGAAGTAGCTTTGCTCTGCCTAGTTAAGTTTCTTTTTGTTAGTAACGCTGTCATTTTCTTGAAATCTGGGTCTTGAATCCCACCCTTTTTTGATACACTTTGTGAACAGACTTTATCTGGTTTGCTGTTTTCCTGTCTTTTGCATTTGTTCCACTTTCCATTTCTAATTTTAGCTTCTAGGCCTAGTGCTAACATTTCTCCAAGGCCCTTTGCTGCTTCCTTATTAACCCATATCTACCTATTTTTTGCTGTAAGAGTTTCTTACCTTCTTTCCCCTGGATTATAGGAAAAAAGTACAATGGTAGGAGCATTGGTCAGTATAGAGCCACCTGCTGAGCTATGCCCCAGCCTTTAGCTCTTGCAGTTTCCCTATAAACAAAACCCCTCAATTAGTTATGTTATGTACTGCCTCTCATCTGATGTTCTCAAATACCTCACTATGGCTCTTTTCCTCCTCTTCCCCTCCTGTCTTCCTCTCTGCTATCCTCCCTTTTTTTTTTTTTTTCCTAAATAATTTGAGAGCAAGTTACATATTGTTCTTTGAGCCGTTACTTCCATTGTGTTTCTAAAGAACAAACTCATAGGCTGGAGTGCTAGAGCACTGGCTGCTCTTGCAGAGGACCCATGTTCAATTTCCAGCACCCATATGGCAGCTAACAACCATCTGTAACTCCAGTTTCAGGGGAATCTGATGCCTTCTTCTGACCTCCATAGGCACTGCGTGACACAGGTGCACTTACACACACGCAGGCAGTACACTCATACGCAAAAAAAGATAATAAAATATTAAAAAATAAAGAACAGGCTCTTTCTCCTACACAGCCATGGAATACTGAAAATGTCATAAGTGAACATTAATATGAACCTATGTTCATATTGCAGTCTTACCATTTCCTCTAATTCCTGTGTGGAATGTAGTCCAGGGTCAGATACTACACTTTTATCATTTCTTTTTCTTGAGGCAGAGCCTCACTGTGTAGCTCTGAGTGACTTGGAACTTGCCATGTAGATCAGGTTGGCCTCCAGCTCAGAGATCTGCTTGGGTCTATCTCTGGAGTGCTAGAATTAAAAGGGGTGTGCTACCACACTGGGCAGATAAAATTTTTAAATGTACACAAAACTCCGTATAAGGCGATTTTATGATTGCTTTGCCTATTTTACTACCATCATTAAATTCACTGAAAATGAATGGAGAATTTTTTGTTTTGTTAATCACCCCCCTCCCTGTTCTACCCAATATGAGAGTAAGTAGCTAAAATTTTGTTCTTAAGCCAGGCACAATAGCGCACACCTTTAATCCCAGCACTCAGGAGAGGTATAGGAAGATAGATTTCTGTGATTTGCAGGCCAGCCTGGTCTGCACAGAGAGACCTCTGTCTCAAAAAAATAATGCCTATGTTTGTTCATCAGAAAAGTATCTGATATCAGTATAAACATTAAATTCTTGTGTTTATTATTTTGATTGAATAGTAAACTTGGTTCTGAAGTTAGAATGACTTAGATTTAATTTCTAGCTCCATCACTTAGGAATTGGAAGGAGTTTTTTTTTCTCCCCTCTGCTTTGGTTTTCTCAAGTGAAATAGTTACTATTGAACTCCTGTGGCCCACTATTCTGAATTTATTTATTTTTTATTTATTTGTCTTTTTTTGGAGACAGGGTCTCAAGCTCATAACTGCAATTAAACACTTCTGTCATTATGGTGGATCTGCTGTTTGAGGCCAGTTAAGTTGTATGGTTATAAATGGAAAAGCCAAAGCTGTTTTACTTAGAGTGGTTTGACTGTTTATTTCCTTATGTATTTTTTTGAATTTATTTTTATTTTTAGTTTTTTTTGAGATGGGGTCTCCCTGTAGCCCCAGCTGGCCTGGAGCTCACTATGTAGACCAGGCTGGCCTTGAACTCACAGAGATCCACCTGCTTCTGTCTCCCGAGTGCTGGGACTAAAGGCGTATGCTACCGTGCCCGGCTTTTATTTTTGTTTTGTGTGCCAGTCTTTTGCTTGCACGTATGTAAATACACTTGTGTTGTGCAGTGTCTCTGAAGACCAGAAGAGGGCGTTGGATCCTCTGGAACTGGAGGTATGGACAGTTGTTAGTTGCCATGTGAGTGCTGGGAACTGAACCTGACTCCTCTGCAAGAGCAGCTAGTGCTCTTAACTGCTGAGCCATCTTTCTAGCCTTTCCTTATGTTCTTTTAAAAAAAAAATTAAAATTTATTCATTGAAAATATACATTTATACAGTGTATTTTGATCATATCCACCCCTCCATCCCTCCATCAACCCCTAGAGCCCCTTCCAACTTCTTTATTTTCTTATAATT